GCTACAGCGGATGTACGATCAAACATAGCTGTACCGTGTAGCCCTCACTCCCGTACAGGGATGTATGATACAACATAGCTCTACCCGTGTAGCCTTCCTCCCACTAGCGGATGTACGATCAAACATAGCTCTACCCGTGTAGCCCTTCACTCCGCTACAGGATGCACGATCAACATAGCTCTAACCGATGTACCCTTCACTCCCCTACAGCGGATGTACGATCAACATAGCTCTAACCGTGTAGCCCCTCGCCTCCCGCCTACAGGGATGTACATTAACATAGCTCTAACGTGTAGCCCTTCACTCCCACTACAGGGATGTACGACGCACATAGTTCTACCCGTCGTAGTGCTCAGTCCCACTACAGGGATATACGATCCAAACATAGTTCTCACACCCGTAGTAGCCCTTCACTCCCGTCAGCAGGGATGCTACGAATCAACATAGCTCTTACCGTGTAGCCCCCTCACCCGTACAGCGGATGTATGATCAACATAGGCTCTACCCGTGTAGCCCTTCACCCTCACTACTAAGGATGTACGATCAACATAGCTCTACGCTGTAGCCCTTCACTCCGGCGCTACAGGGATGTACGATCAACATAGCTCTAACCATGTAGCCCTTCACTACCGCTACAGCGATGTACGCATCAACATAGGCTTAACCGTGTAGCCCATCGCTTCGACCCCTACAGGATCTACGATCAACATAGCTCTACCGTGTAGCCCTTCACCTCCCACTACAGGGATGTACGACCACCAATTTTTACCCCTGTAGGCCTCGCTCCCACTACAGGGATATACGATCAACATAGTTCTACGCCGTGTAGGCCTCGCCTCCAACTACAGGCCGATGTAGATTCAAAATTACTCTACCCGTGTAGCCCCTTCGCTTCTGCTACAGGGCTGTAGCGATCAACATAGCTATAACATGTGAGTCGCCTTCGCTCCGCTCAGGGTTGTACGACCAACATAGGCTCACAGTGTGTACGTCCCTTCACTCCGGCCTACAGGGATGTACGATCACCTAGGCTCTACGCGTGCTATGTCTCTCCTTCGCTCTCGCTCTCGCCCTCCCTCTCATCTTCTCTAGAGATGTCACTACTCTCCTCTCTCTCCTCCTCATCTCTCTCTCTCTCTCCTCTCTCCATGCTCCATCTCTTCTCTCATCTCCTCCCTCTCTCTCCCTCTCTCTCTGCCTCTGCTCTCCCTCTCTCTCTGCTCTCCTCTCCTCTGATCTCTCGTCTCTCTCTCTTCTCTCTCTCTCTCTCCACTCCGCTCACTTCTTCCCCTCCTCACCCTCATCTCCCTCTCTCCTCCTTCCCTCTCTCTCTCTCTCTCTCTCTCTCTCCTCGCTCTCTTCTTCCATTCACTCTGCTTCTTCCCTCTCCCCCAAGACAGAGAGAGAGAGAGAGTGAGAGAGTGAGAGAAAGAGAGAGCGAGAGAAAGACAGAGAGAGAGAGAGAGAGATAGAGAGCCGAATGACATTGATTAAGTAACCTACACCTGACGCCAGATTCCCAGGGGACTCGTTGTCAGCAATAAAATTAACATCTTACACCTACAACAGTCTTAACATTACCTTAAGATTAACATTTCCTGCTAGACCGGACTCTGTGTACACTGCTTATGAGAAACTTTACGATGTTCCTGTCAACGGTCTACGAGAAAATATACGTGTCAAGATTATGTGAGAACTAGTTTTGTTTCTGACATGGGGCCGACCCCTAAATCGGAGCTAGAGCAGCAGCGGGAGTGTATATTGAGTTTCCATTAACGTTGGATTTAAAATGCTCGGGTATTTTCTCGCGTTGGTCCACGTTCCCCTGTTCTGCGTAGCTGATAGTCGGCTTACGTAATGCCTGGGGCTATAGCTATTATTATTCCCCGCATCGACTCTGTATCTCTGTTGATCTCCTTCATAGAGACGTTGACTCTGTATCTCTGTTGATCTCCTTCATAGAGACGTCTGGAGATATCTCCCGCAATATTTATCTAGACCATCGGCAGCCGGATCTTGAGCAAAGCGCAAAAAACGCCGCGTAGCGGCACAATTTCAACGGGTCCACTATAGACGGAATTCTGGAGCAATCGCTGAATTGAGCAGTTCTGGCGATTGCACGACGGGTTTGACTACCCACGTAGCTAGAGATTTCCTTGAAATGGTCGTAATTCTTGGTTTGCTACTCGGCGCGATTGGTTTTCTGTAAAAAAACGAAGTTGAAATTTTTTATGCCAGCGACTAGTTGAGGCCCCCACATCAGTGTAGTACATATGGCGCGATAGATGGCGCAACGAGGCTATATTCATAGCATTTCGCTAGCACTTTTCTTGCAGACGGCTCGGCCGGCTATAACCTAGACTCGTACCCGGTCGACTAACTTCAGTGTAGCGAAGGATACTTGCCGGAGTAAAGGTGGCAAACGAGTACCAGTCTAGAAAGCCAACTGGAAAGAGAAACTGAAATGGGAACTAGCCTATCTGCACACAGCATGAGCAGC